AAAAAAAAAAAAAAAAAAAGGCAGGTGGGGAGTGGTCGTTATTAGACTTAGGCTAAAAGTTATTGGCAAGAAGACTTCATAGGTGATAATATAGCTAGGATTTGAACCCGGGTCTGACTAACTCCAGAATTCCAGACTCTCAAAAACTTTAATATGAACTGCCAATTACATTATATATAATATATATATAATATATAGTATATATATAGAGAGAGAGAAAGAGAGAGATGAGATCTCGCTATATTGCCCAGGCTGGTCTCAAACTTCTGGGTCAAGCTGTCCTTCTACCTCAGCCTCCCAAAGTGCTGGGATGACAAGCATGAGCCCTTGCGCCCAGCCCAGCATTCTTAATGTAGCACGGCACAGTAGCGCCACAACCACAAGTCTCAGGAGCAGCCCAGTTCAACTTTGTAATTAGTTTATGTGTCACTCACTCAGAGGTCAGCAGGAAATGGTTAAGCAGGAAGCAGGGTGGACAACCAGATGAAACTGTCTGATGTTGATATGAGTGTCACCACATCATGTGTGCCTAGAACATTCGCATTGGAGAGCTTCAGCCACTAAGAGGCCATTTTCAGGAGATGGTGAGGATGGGGCAGCCAGCACAGTGCAGAACCTTTGGGATCAATGATTTTATTTGTGCTCAGATAACCTCTAAAATGGTGTTGAAAAGTGATGTGCCACTTTGCCCACATTTAAAGTGACATTTAGCCAGGCACAGTGGCACACCGTTATAGTCCCAGCTACTCTAGAGGCTGAGGAAGGAGAATTGCTTGAGACCAGGCATTTGAAACCAGTCTGGGCAGCATAGCAAGACCCCTGTCTCTCAAACTAAAATAAATAAGAATTAAACTGACATTTAAACTTTTTGTCATAAATTAAATAGTTACAGGAGATGTAATCTCTATCATGTTGCAAATATGAGCACTTTAAAATGAAAACTGGCCAGCATAGTGGCTCACACCTGCAATCCTAGCAGTTTGGGAGGCTGAGCAGGGAGGATGGCTTAAGCCCAGAAGTTCAACACCAGCCTAGGCAGCATAGTCAGACCTTGTCTGTATGAAAAATAAAAAATTAGCTGATTGTGGTGGCATGCATCTGTGGTCCCAGCTATTCAGGAGGCTGAGCAGGAGTATTGCTTGAGCCCAGGAAGTTGAAGCAGCAGTGAGCCATGATCAGGCCACTGCATTCCACCCTGGGCAACAAAGCAAGATGCTATCTCAAAATAAATAAAAATAAAAACCACAACTATGTGCTTT